AATAATTATAATTTATTTGATAACAAACGAATAGATTGACGCTCTATTTATGAACAATCAATTTTATCTCTCTCGGCAGAATGTTTATATTCTTCCTTCCCTCAGTATTTTAAGGATTAATGCGACAATGTTCGTCACGCTGAATAGGACGAGATGCTGAATTCAGAGAACGACCTCGGGTCAAACGTGATGCGCACCAAGAGGATCGGATCTCTGTCTATTGTGAACAATTTGGACGTGTTGAGACAAAGAGTCCTGCTAGAGTTGGCTCGCAGAAAGGCATTGCAGGATCAACGGCAGGTCGACGAGAATCGTCGCGTCCTCGAGAGCATTGGCAAGAGATCGGTGTTGAATGCCGGAAGAATTGTGAGATCCGGCATGAAGAATGGCCGCGATCTGTCCGCACCACCCAACAGATACGAGTGGATAGAAGGGGCTAAGGAGGATCCGTTATTTCGAGGATCGCAAGACGATCGAACGGCTAGAGTACGCTTTTTCCAATATCCCCTTTTTTTTTTTTTCATTTCTTGAGCTTATTTTAAAATATCTCCGCATTAAGCAGATTGAACTGGACTGAGTTTATTCCTCAAAAGAAAATTTATTTAAGATTTAGAATTATATCTCGTAAGCGTAGATTTATAATAATAATAATGATGTTGCACTCTTTCAGGTACAGGCTAATGAGCTTCGCCTGCTGTAATCGCATCCTCTCCGCATGCGAAGGAAAACTCCAGATCCGATATATCTTAGCTTTATCATATGCGACTTTTAATCGACCATCATTTCATCGTTAAGTTATTTTTCTTCTTTCCGCTTGTCTATCCCCATTTAGCAACTAGTCCGAGTTCTGTCAGTTGGCGTCAGACTGGCAATTTAAATGTTAAAAATTACTGAATTTTACAACAAAAATGCGGGCCTGCTAATTCTTCCTTTCACTCGAGAAATCGTTTTGCACAGTATTCGTCCGCTTTTTCTCAACTATCTATTTTAATTTTAGCTTTTATTTATTGAGTTAGGTTGTAGTGATTCACGTGATAAGAAGCTCTGTGTATCACGGAAGCTGGCAGGAATGAGAATCGCGATTGCATCGTTTCGGAGGTGCGACGATGTACGATGGATCGAATCACGGCGCGCGTAACATTCCAAAGAAACGTAACCAAAGGTCTGAGCTTTACGTGAGCTTTATTTCCGCCTTCTTCTGTATCTAATTTTCCTCTGACACGGAGAAAGGCGTAACGAAGCAGTATTATACATTGTGATCTCGTTTAAACCTACCTTCCGTTTCGCAGAGAATGACCTGACGTCCTGATCCTTATATTTAATTCTCGCGTCTCCGGCCGCGCTTATATTCGCATTTGTAGAGGACGATGTAACGAGAGAGAGCAGGAGTCGATCCAACTTATGCAACTTGACTTTCGCCAACTATAAATGTACAAATACTTCGTTGTATTGATAGTTATCGGCCCTCTCGCGTCGATCGTCGGACGTGAGAGGCACTCATATGTGTACCTGCAATCTACAGCTCTTGAACGAAATCTATTTTCTGCGTGTAGTGCGCTAATCAAAAGAGACTATCCACAAATTCGCAAATATAAGGAATCGAGTCTTGTAGAAGGATCCGGAGATCAGATATACCGTTAACGTTAAGAAAGACTATTATAATACACGATAAGATTTTCATTGATACAAGTACAACAGATGTATCCCAAATGTTATGATTTAGAAAATAGTTTTTACATCACAATAGTTTTACGTGTAATCCTATTTTTGCTTCCCTCGCAATATTGATTAATATTGATTATAGATAATTGTTTCGTGTTTTTTTTTTACATATTTATTCCTGCGCCATTTTACAGAAGTACAAAAACGAGCGGTTATCAATTGTGCAAAAATAAAATGTCTAACGTAATGCATGAGATTGAAAGTTTCGCGAAGAATGCGATAAATAAAATGTGTATGCATTATTAAAATAATTACTCAATATGATTTCAATGTGACTGTAACATAAGAATATTTCCATTTATAATTGCTTCAAAGCGTTTTATTAAACGAAGTGTGATTTCACAAAATTCAAGACGAATGTAGTTATTAAATTTTTCAACAATCTATACATATAAGAATTTTGCATATTCATTCATCATTTTTTAATAATAAATTACATTATAACTTCAATTATAAAAGGATTCTGAGTAAAGTATAAACGAGTACGTACACTTTTTTAGAATGCTTTTTACATTGTCAAAGAAACAGATTAAGCTTCACATAATATAATCTGTCATTGAAAAAGCGATGAATGAATCTTTTAAATACGAATATGTATAGGTTGCATAAATTTTGTAGTCATAGGTAATTATTTATCTGAAAAATGTATAATCAGGACAAATATAACTATAATTAGAAAATATGAAATAGAATATAATTTTCTGGCATACAAATTGTCTGCTATTATTTATCACGATATTAAATCGATGATGGCTAATAAAACAATTGTGTTGAGTTGCATGTATATCAACAATGATATAATAACCAATCTTATTTAAAATAAATCAGGAATAGATATCTTTTCCTATATTCTTATGCATCGACAAAAAGATGATAATATGGTGAATAATAAATACAACATTATTCTTTCGATTAATTATAATTTCTTTAAAAAAAAGTTCACTTTTTTTTATTCATTGCTGATGTTTACATAATATTTAATACTATCACAGTTACAACTCTAATTGATTTGTGGTTATAGTCACAACTGGAATAGTATATCCAGTCATTCTTAATGACTAAAGATAGCAATTCATTTCTTTGTAAATATAAAGTTTGTTGAATTATGTGCTGTACAGTGTTTATGTCATGACTAAAAATATTATTAATATACATTTTTCTTTATGTACTTTTCTAAGTGAAATATTAAGAGAAGTATACAAAAAATATTTCTTAAACAGAAAATGCGCGCTTTATTAAATAACTTTTTGTAAGTCACCATTTATAAATTTCTCAGAATTTTTAATCATGCTTTATGCATGAATAATATGATTTACAAATATATTCGAAGAAAATTTCGAATGATTTAAATGATTACTATAAATAATTAGGATAATTAAAAATTATTGAATATATGAGAAGTAACTTATAGGATTCTGTTTAAATATGTTAATAACTAAATTTTTTAAATCAAAATTTTATTATGCTCCAATGTGTTAAAAACCTATAAATCTTATAAAAATACAGTTAAAGGTTAAAAGAAATTTGGCATTCACATGATTTTCAAAACAAGATAATTTTTTGAATAAAATCCTGCCGTCTATTTTTGTACCTGTGCGGTCTAAAAAATGCATAACTAAAAAATCCTTGGGAAATTGTGCTGTGTAAAAATTAATTGATATAATGACAAAATGAAAAAGTATGATAAAAAATTGAAACTTTGCATAAATAATTCAGAGTCATAAGAAAATTGCCGAATCGAAAAATATATTCTAGGATGCAATTATGATTATAGCTTACGAAGATCAAGAACGAATACGCTGCCATCTGAAGCTGATGCACCGACTTTGTCACCACGACTATTCCAACAGACTTCAAAAATACCGCCTGTACCTTTATAACTGTGTACCAATTGACCACTCTGCTCGAATTAAGAAAAAGCAATCAATTTAATTCCAATATTTCAAAAATAAGAAAATTGTAAATTGCGATACTTACTTGTGTAGACCATATATGAACGCATTTATCAAAACTACCGCTAGCAAGAAACTTTCCATCCGGGCTAAATGCCACGCTGTATACTGGCTCAGTGTGTTTTGTAAGCGTGTGTATGCACACACCTCTTTCCACGTCCCACAGTCTTACAGTAGAATCAAATGATGCACTAGCCAATGTTAAATTCATATTTGGATTGTGTGTCCCTGGACCAGTCGGCGACCATTTGATAGTGTAGATTTCTTTACTATGTGCTTGTAAATCGTGTACCCAAGTGTCTTGTTTCATAGACCAGATTTTCAGACTCATATCGTCTGAACAACTGGCCAATAGATTTCCTTGCGGATCCCACTTAATTGCATTAACTTCATTCTATAAAATGCAAAAAAAAGAAAGAATAGAAATTGAAAGAAAATACGCTTAATCAAATCAATTAGCAATTTTTTCGACTGTATACGTACTGTGTGTCCCTGGAAGCTCTTGATAGGTTTATCTACATTGAGTTTGCATACATGTATACATTGATCTGTAGAACAGCTAGCGAATGACGTATTTGTCTGCCAATCTACATCCAGAGCAGGCGCACAATGAAAACTGAACTGTTGCGTGCATTGTCCGCTTTCAGCGTCCCAAATAATCGTCGTTTTATCAACGCCAGCACTTAGAATGTAATTGCCACGTTTGTTCCATTTTAAGGCAAAAATTGGTCCTTTATGTTGACCCAATGTAGATGCTAATCGCCCATCTGTTGTCCAAATTCGCGCATAACCATCATAACTTCCTGTTGCAAGTAATGTACCATCGCACTGCAAAAATTTAAAATATGTGGTTAGCATACAAGTCAACATATTCAACAATAAATAAAAATGTGTCTTATACCTTCCAGTCTAACGATGTAACATCTTTATTACTGGGTACTTCGGTGCCGCCTTTTTGGATGCAATGTCGCAAGACCAGTTGATTGGGTGCTTGCGAGTTGTCTGACATATCCCAAATACGAGCAGTACTATCGCCTGAACCAGAAGCCAACAAATCAGTCGTCGGATTCCAGGCACAAATAAACACTTCTGATTCATGACCACGTAATTTGGTGGCTTTACTAGCAGGAATCTCAACTGTACTAGCATTGGAGCCTGCATTTGCACCTGCTGTCGGCTCATCCACTTCCATTTCCGTTCCTCGGTCTCCACCTCGATCATTATTATTTACACCCTCGTTAGATGTGATAACTAATAAGGAAAGAAGCAAATATTTATTAGATTATTTTGGAGAATTTTTTATAATTGATTTTGAGATTTTTATTTATTTAATTAATTTAATTAATTTAAATTGTTTGCCACCTAATTGACGGACACATTGATAATGAGCTTGTATCTTTTGTCTGCATTCATTAATAAAAATATGCTTCTTATAGAAAATACATTTTTATAGAAGACATATTTTGTATTGTTATGTCTGACAGAAGTTACAATATAGCTCACAAAGTGACCGTAATCTATGGCCGTCCTATTTTGATCTACCTGAATTTTATGGAGGTCTGAAAATTTTAATTTTTTCAAACCAGGGTGTATCAGGCATTATTTTCTCCTTAATTCTGATTATTAGTATATTTCTTTCATTTTTTTCAACTTAATATCATTTACACACACACACACACACTACACACACATACACACACACACACACACACACACACACACACGACGCGCGCGCGCGCGCGCGCGCGTGATGATCGCGATATCGATCGCGATCATCGTTGCATCTTATGCAATTTTACGTTGCATCTTATGCCTTGTCTTCGTATACTGAATCACGAAAGTGGCAAATAGGCGTAATAATATCCTAGATACGCGCATACGGCAGAGACTGAAAGCTTATGGATGTGACGGACGTGCCGACGGAACAATGGAATAAATCCGCAGAGCGGGACAAAGCAGGGCACCGTGCCTCTTGCGGACTTTGCACATTGCTTACGTAAATCCGCGGCTTCCATGTGCAGGACAACTGGTTGCACTCGTAGACACGAAGATCGCGCACGTACAAAGCTGTCGACTCATCCGGACTTGCGATGTAAATAGAGCAAAGAAGAAACAAAAAAAAAACGTGGCCATTAATAGCATTGTTCCGCGACATTATTCCGACTAAATACGTAACATGAAATATAATGAAGCTATATATATATTATATATATATATATCAATTTGTATCTAGATATTTTTGAAAGTAATTAATACTTCATTTAGTGTTAAATATTAATTACGTAGCAATATACCGCGCTGTTAATTTTGACCACGTCGCTTTTGTTCGTTTTTTTTTTCTCAACACGAAGGCTCGAATCCTGTCCGATCTCGATGATGATCGATGATAAGTCCGACGTAAGTCCACCCGCTCATTAACCCTCCCGTGCACGTACTATATTCGACAAGAAACACATCGTTGTTTCGCACGTTAATCAGAATAACCGGAATATCGTACATTATTTTTATGTTGAAAATGTCGATCCTGAAAATCGTTATCCTAAAAATCGGTTATTTTGCAATTTTATTTAGCTCATTGAAAAAGGACGCGCATAATAAGAGGCAATTCGCGAGAATTCGTTCTTTTGATCCTTCGGTTTCGAAACTCGAGATATTCTCGAGATTTGATAGCTTTGATTCGAAGCATCATTTCGAAATCCATACTTATCTCGATATGCGCGTTTTAGCAAGATAGATCCGAGAGACGGAAACGCAAGATATCCGTTTTAGCGTGTTTCGACTCGCGCAGGATGGCAGACATTACTTTTGCCTCGTGGATGTTTGCTAAATTGGAAACGGTTCGCAATTGAAGCGGCTCGTAATTAAAACTCGCCGGCGGAAGTGGTTAACCTTTTGCAAAGAAACTTGAGATGCGCGGCACGCGAAACGATCCGGAACACTCGACAGAGAGCTCCCGCAATGGGCGCCCGGATAAGTGACTTCAAAGGCTATCGTCTGCATATTTTAACATGGCAAATGGATCAGTATTGTGCTGCGCACTTCGCACGACGGAGACCCGAGCAGCTGTACGCGATGAAAAATGTCAGCGAGATCCACACGTTTAATTTTGCAGAATTTCGTTGAAAATTTTGAAACGTCCACGCGTTTCATAATAATATTAATAGTTCTCTCTGTACTTTATCGCTTTGTATCCTATTGTTTCTATCCTATCGTAAATATTGAAGTAATTAAATAGTAAAGTAAATAGCAATATATCGTAGCAATCATATAAAAATAAAGTTTAAAATTTTTAGAATTTATTTATAAGCCCTCAAGCATTTTAATTTAAAATAATAATAAAAGATGTGATGGTCTACTACATTTTGTGTTGTTGTATTTGTGTATGTCAAAATGCAATAAAATATACTTAATTTACCACCAGACAAAACGTGCTCAATACGCTTTTTAATATATATATATTTTTTTTGCATGATATTGTATTACATATGTAGACAAAAAGGCAAAATTTACGGTTATAATCTGTGTCCGATACTAAAACATTTGCGAAATTAAATGTTGAAATAATAAAACGTATATATTTTGAAGATATTGGAATCAAGTTGGCAATCCTGCGAAATATTGTTTGCGACTTTAAAAATATTATATTTTTTTCAAAGTCTCTTGATTTACAATATTCCATTTTTTACAGCATCGAAATTTTATAAAAAAGAAAGAGAAAATAATGTTATACCAAATAATGTTATAATTTCATATTTTGCGATATTATCGGGGGATTTTTGTTGTATATTCTTTATAAGTGAGTAAACCTTGTGCACTCGTGCCAACGTACGATACATAGCTATTTTCTGGTTTCGTTCTCCGAAATTGGATATCGAAGAAGGAACCAATAGGGAGTAGCCCGTTTTACTTCGATCTAACGTGATCGAGAAAAAGTTTTGCGTGAGACAGGAGAAGACAGAAAATAATTTTGCATTTCTCGTTAGGATGTCGAATCGATGATCTTTCTCGTAAATGTTGAATTTTATCTTGTTCAAGATGTGTGAACTAATTGAAACTGTCAGATATTATTTATAACCGGGAATACAATAGATGCGATTATATAATATTTTAATAGTAGGTAAAATTAATTGAGAAACGATTAGATTATATATAATTTTCTACGATTTAATAGATATATTATTCATAAACTTGACATCTGTGATGAATGACCTTCTTAAAAAAAATTTTTATTTTTTCCAAAAAATTTAATATCTTCTTTTTAAAATTTTCCAATTATATAGCACTGATTTTGCGAGAAAAGAAGGGAGTATACAATTAAATAAAATATTATAAAAATATGTTATAATAATATAAATTTATAATATTGTAATATGTTTTTGTAATATATTTTATTTAATT